GGAGCGAGCGATGAGAAGCTGGCGGAGAAGGAGGAGTGGGGGTCCGAGAAGCTGGCTGGAGAAGGAGCGAAAGGGGAGGAAGGGCGCGAGAAGTAGCTGGTGGAGCGAGGGGAGAAGGGAGAAGCTGCCCGTGAGAGAAAGAGGGCGCGAAGCTGCGTGGAGAGCGAAGGAAGCGAGCAGAAGCGAGAAAGTGGTGGAGGAGGGAGAAGCTGCGGGAGGGAGAAGCTGGGGAGTAAGGAGGAAGGCTGCAGAAGGAGGGCCGGAGAATGCGGAGCTGGTGAGGAGGAGGGGGAGAAAGGAGCAAGCTGACGGTGGAAGGAAGAGCGGGAGAAAGCTGCCGTGCGAGGAAGAGCCGCGGAGAAGCTGGTGGAGAATGAGGAAGGGGAGCAAGGGAGAACGGGGGTGGAAAGGAGGGAGAAGCTGGTGAGAGTAAGGGCAGGAGGGAGAAGCTGGTGGAGGAGGAAGGGAGGCACGGGGAAAAAAGTAGCTGGCTGAGGAGGGGGAGAAGCGATGAAGCTGGTGGAGGAAGAGCGGGAGAAGTGTGGAGAATGAGGAGGGGAGAAGGAAAGGGTGAGGAACGCGGGAGAAGCTGGCTGGAAAATGAGAGGAGGGAGAAGCTAGGTGGAGAAGGAGGAATGGGAGGAGGGCGGAGGAGGGGCAGAAATGACCTGCGTGGAGAGGCGGAGCAAGGAGAAGACTGCGTGGAGCAGGCGGAGACAGCTGTGGAGAATGAGGAAGCGGGAGAAGGAGAAGGGGAGGAGAAGGAGAGGAGAAGCTGGTGAGCAGATAGGAGCCGGAGCAAAGTCGTAGAGAAGCGCAGGAAAGGGAGGAGCGGGAGAAGTACTGGTGAGGAGAGGGGCGAGAAGGAGAGAAGCTGAGTGGAGAAAAAGGAGCGGAAGAAGTGGCTGGTGGAGAAGGAGGAAGGCGGAGAGAGCAGAGGGTGTGGAGGAGGCAGGGAGAGCTGGTGAGAAGGAGAGGGGGGGAAGCTGGGGAGAGAGAAGGGAGAAGAGGGAAAGGAGTTGGTGCAGAGATGGCGGCAGAAGGAGAGCTGGTGGCCAGAAGCGAGGCAGGGGAGAAGCTTTCTCCGCCAGCCTCTCCTTCTCACCAAGCTTCTCCCCTTCCTCATCTTCCACCAGCTTCTCCCACTCCTCCTTCTCCACCAGCTTCTCCCTCTCCCCTTCCTCCTTCCACCAAGCTCCCTTCTCTCCTCCTCCATTTCTCCACCAGTTCTCCCCTCCTCCCTTCTCCACCAGCTTCTCCCTTCTCCCCTTCACTATTCTTCACTAGCTTTCTCCCTACTTCCAACCTACTAGTATACTCTAAACCTTCCTCTCCCTCTCCCTTTCCCCGTTCACCACACGTGCTCCTCGCACCCTGTACAAACTTACGAGAGTGCTGAGACGACCTGCACTGAACGCCCCGAACTGCCAATAGACTGCTGTAGCCCATCTGGGCGCTGGAAGTTTGCAAGTTAATTGACGACGCCTAAACCTGATGTTTACCAGCGTTATGGCTTACTTTAGGGTGTTAGCGTTTAGTTAGGTTAAAACAGACCAGGCTCTCCGACTGTTACACGGCGGTAGGAGCTGACCCCTTCCATACGAAATGCATGCGTAGCCCCTGAAAACAAAACTCCGAATTTCATTAAAATTTCGTTAAATAATAACAATGTATTACCACATTCTGACCTCACCTGCATGACATGTTGCAACTATCACTACACTTCTTTAATTGACTATTTACTCGAAATACACGTTAAAAGGATGAGATTTTGAACAGCTAATACTAATCTTTAACGTTTGTGTGAAATGCCATTATGATGTTCTTATTCTCTCTTTACGCGAAAATCACGAACTTTCGCCCTACTGTATTATGGCATATCTATGGCGGAAATTTGCGGCATTTTTTGAGTTTTAATCTATGTAAGTACATGCTCAGTTGATAGCGCACATACAATAAATACGAGCGTGTGGAAGTACAGAGAAGCTGAAGAATCATAAAAAGTGAGATAATTAACGTATAAATAGGCACACGCCACTACTGCGCAACATATTTCTAATGCGTCGTTTAGTGACCTCTCGCCACGTAGGTTAAGCGAATGAATTGTGGCAGTAGGTTAGGGTTAGCGGATAGACCGAATAATTCTGTCTCATATAACCTTTTTAATTTTGTTGAAGGTCTATTATGGACAGGAACAGGGCGTTCATTGAAATTTCGGACGACGCCATGCAAAATGGATGCGCTGCTAGTGTTACAATAGCCCTGGTTCTCGCTTCGTATCTGTGCGTGCCTGCAGGAGGTGATAGACTCGCTCTGATGGTCTGATGTTATGTAAATGGCGAATGTAATTTAACGAAAGTGCAATAAGCGCCCCTCTTCGTTCTGAAAACAATCTTTTAAGCAAGAATAATGATTGAATGTGATGTATACACATATCTGTGCAAGTAAGAGTCATGTAGAGCGAACGGTAGGGTTTTTTCGGCCAATAGCGCGCGTACGAGCACCGCATTCGCCAGGCAATGCATTTTTCAGATACAAGATAATGTAACCCAAACCCAACGAGGATATAGGCTTACAAATGTCTCCTATCCTTTTCTGCGAGGGAATGCCCGAGTGAATCACTCGGCCGGTTTGCTGCGTGCCGTTTTCAGAACTAGAACTTCCAAACTGGTGTATTCTCAAACACGAACCTTTCTCCCGATGGGAACTTACTATGTATCGACAATACTCTGTTTAACTAATATACCTGTTACAAAAAATTCGAAGTGGTACGAGCGCGCGAATATACTGCAGCGCCATTTCGAATTCCTTCCTCATTCTCCACCAGCTTCTCCCCTTCCTCCTCCACCAGCTTATCCCTTTTCCCCCTCCTCCTCCACCAGCTTCTCCCTTCTCCCCCTCCTCCTCTACCAGCTCCCTTATCCCCCTCCTTCTCCCCTTCCTCCTCCACTAGCTTCTCCCCCTCCTCCTCCACCAGCTTCTCCCCTCCTCCACCGGCTTCTCCCTTCTCCCCTTCTTCATTCTTCACTAGCTTCTCCCTACTCAACCTACTAGTACTTTTCTAAACTTCCTCCTCCCTCCCCCTCCCCCTCTCTTTCCCCTCTCCCTCCCTACACTGGTCCTTCGCTACCCTGTACCAGAACTACGAGAGTGCTGACGATGTTCCACTGATACGCCCGAAACGCCGATAGACCGCGTAGCGCAATCTGGCGGTGGCGTTTGCAAGTTAATTTACGACGCTAAACCTGATGTTTACCCCCTAACCCTAACCATATCAGATAGTTACCTCGGGTACATATTATACGACAACGACCCTTCGGGCGCGACTGCCGGCACTTGGAACGTTTCTATATATATATTATAATTATAAAGTTGTTCAGCCGAATTAGTTCGTACTCGCATAACTGGAGAACTCCGCAACCTAGAGGAAAACTAAAGATATTTTCAGAATCAGCATGTCTAGGTGGTTCTGGCTGAAACAAAAATTTTAAAAAGTTAAAAAGTTATATTTAAATAACTTTATAAAATTTATAGAAATTCTATTCATCAATAGATGGCGGGGCGTACAGATTAAAACATCACGTACGTGTGAATCCATGGTGTATACCCTTAAATTGACTACGTCACGAATTTTCTATGGTAAAATTTGTAAAAAAAAATTGCCATTTTTTTACATTAAAGGTAAGAACTAACGAGACTAAACGTATCGTCAAATTCTTACCTGATAAGATTGTTTCTCAACTAGTTAAAAATCCAAAAAACCTGGGGGCCGTTGTCAGAAACAAAATTAGTCGCAACATTAGTCTTACCATTAACTTCCACTCGTAAACCGTTGACAGAAACATCGTAAGGTTACGAGAACGAAAAATCCTCGCAAATATCCTCATAACATTACGAGAGCTCAGACCCTCTCGTAACTTTAATATAAAGTTGAAAATAACACATTAACCTTCTCTTGTTCCTTATGTTGTGCTACGTTTTGTTGATCATTCTCATGCTGTGTCACCATATCTGGTTCCTTGTTATGCTGTGCCAGATTTTTTTGTTCCTTCTCATGTTGTGCCACCTTTTCTTGATCCTTCTCACACTGTGTCCTGTTCCGCTGTTCTGTCTCGTGCTGTGTCGCTCTCTCATATTTGTCTTTATAACGAGACAAAGTTTTATATTTTGGTTTATAATTATTTGCAGCTGTGATCTTGATATGCTGCTTATTGATGTCATGGGTGGTGAGCACTGGATGACTGCAAACAACTTTGTCGCCTGTGGCTGCAACATAACAACACATTTTCAACATGTTTGACATTGGTATCCTTAGCTTTAGGGCCATGCATTAACCTGCATATCAGCTTAGAATCTGCACAATAGTGAAGCCTAATTATTCAACAATATCTAACAGAGACTGCAGTAGGTAGTTGCTACTTGACAATTCGTTGGTTAGTATATCTCCAATTAAAACAAGGGTTCAATAGTTTTATATAACAAACTTTGTTGCTCAATTTTGATAAGTTAAAAAAAAACAGTCATACTATATATATAAGGGTCACTCAAGAAATACACTCTAGTCTAGAGGTGATTTCACTGTATAACCACCACTGACGGAAATGCTTAGTGTGTCCTTCATACTAGTTCATAGACAGGTGTATGTTCTGTAGAGGTGGCTACTACTGCAAGTTTGACTGGGCTGATTTCAAAGCGTGACAATTACCGTTTTATTATATTGCTTGACAATGACATTGGTTTACCTGCCTCGTATAAGGATGATACAAACTGCACTTTAAATGCAGTGTTTTTACAGCTTGATGTATACGTATCCGAACTGATTTGAGTTTATCTGTGTATTAGGGCTGCTTACGACATGACCCTCCGCATTCCACCCATAAACGGCATACCATTTTAAATTCCTGGGACCCCCGTATGTGTGTGTGCGTATATGTGGTTTTAGGACAAATACGCCTTGGACAATCGACCCTGTACAATAACACCCTGTGCCATTCCCCACTAGACAATTACCCCAATGATTTTAGTTTTATTTATTTTTGAGTTAACTGCACAGAATTTAAGTCCTTAAATAAACATATTTTGAAAGGAAAATGTAAAATACTTAAATATAATCGACATTATGTTGAGTGAAAATCTTAATGTGAAATAAGCAGAATTAATAAATTACAACAGATATATTCTATATAAAAAGATATAAGCTGTAAGAAAAATGTAAATTACCATTGAATTTTGTCTTATAATTATTGACTATCATTTAGTGTCTGTGTAGTTTAGTATACGTTGTATGGTCCAAGTGCTAATTCTCTATGCTCTAGGGAAGGGGCGATTGTCCGGAGGTAATTTTCTGGGGAGAGTGAATATACAGGGTGCAATAGTCCATGGGGTGAAGTTCAGGAGGTAATTGTCCAAGGGTAATTATCAGGCAGTTTACAATTAAAAAGGTAGTTGGAGATAAGCATAATTTTAGCTTTATTTTAAGCTTTCGGTCTAAATTTCTCCAAAACTTCTCCAAATTTTTTCTAAATATTTTCTACATGCAAGTCATTTATATCCATTTACTATTTATATGAAACATCACGCAGAAACAGGTGCATAGTATGTGGATTACTCAATTTAACTGGGAATAAACTGAAAAAGTAACTAAAGTAATGTTTAAATCAACAACTATCATTAAAATACATTTCTTTACCAATACCAATTACATTTTTCCTCCTTAAAAGGATACATTACTCTAGGTTCTTTAGATATTTTCAGTTGAAATAGGTTAAAATTACGCTACATGAAAAGTTTTATGGTTCAATATTCATTAGAAATATATTTTTTGTTTTAAAACTGACGGCTATACCATTGCTTACAACGGCTGTGGCGCCACTGGAAGCGCATTCACTGAAAAAATTGCGCAAAGCAACGTTTCTGCTGCAGGCTACAGACCGAGGGTGTTTCCTATTTATTAATTTTAGAGCAGAAGGTTAGCAATATCTTAAAAACGAGTCAAACGACACTTAGTTTCAGTTATAATATGGACGAATTTGTCCTAAAATAAACATCGTTCGGTTGAATAGCATTTAGGTATAAATATAATTGCGCTTTTGTGATTAGCCCTCGGTCTGTAACTTGTAAAATAAATTGGCAAATGCGCAACTTTTTCAGGGTGGCAGCACAATCGCGGGTGTCATGTCTGAGTCCAAAAATGAAGATTTCGAAATGCAATGTTGTTTTATGACAAGCGTGAATGCGTGATTATAGAAATATTGAGGTATATGCTATTATATATGCATTTATTATCATAATATACTATAAAATTATAGGGGAAAGTAACCCTTTAAACATCTATATATACCTCCATCAGCGTCTTCTGTCTCAGATAGACTTTCCACAATTTCACTTATATGAGCTGCTAAATTTTCGTCGACATCTGACTGATCATCTGTGAAATCGACGATGGCACCATCTTGCTGTGGCACAGGCTTACACTGATTAAAAAACTCTGAAATTTGGAGAACCTAATGTAAGGTAATGTACTCAAATCATATTTCTCTTAAAGATTTAATAATAATAATAATAATATTAGTCCATGACGAAGATACACAGAGAATGTTCTCCGATAGGTCTTTGAAATAATCTAGACATACCTAGACATATCTTTACTTACCTAGAATTGATGATTGATTATTACTGACGGGACTGCTCAATTTCACAGGGTCATCGACTACCATCTGCTGGACTGATGAGGTTCTAGTGATGGATGTTGGTTGCATGACTCGTTCACACTGCTATACATTCGCAAACACGTTCATATTTAATTACTTCATTAACTGTAATAGCTAGTACATCAGATTCTAGGTCACTCAGAAGGAAGGCACAAGAATTTAAAATTGTAAAAATCAGTGAATCCCTTAGGCTTATATATGTGTCCCCACTGTGGTCTCAGGACGAAGGTGATGGAAGTGGAAGTGATAAAGATGGTAATGTGGGTCCTGGTGGGTGGTGGGCTGGTTTGGTTTTATCTGGTCTTCTATTCTAAATCATACAGCTTCAGGAGGCTCCCCCCTCTATAAATAGTAAGAACTGTCCGAACATATCAAAAAACTAAAAATTGCTGTGAAATGAAATAAAATGTGACTCAGTCATGAAATAAGTGTTATATACTTTATTTATACCAAGAGCCATGTACAATAAGACTGGACAGCTGAGCAAAATGCTGGGTCAAGAATGATATTAGAGCCAACTAGCTGCTGGCCAGTAACCTGTGAATGGCAGTGCGTGTACTATTTGTTAAAATGACCCAGTTTTCTTCAGAGAAAGGGTCTGGTCATTAGTGTACCGTGACTAACTGCAATAATAACAAGGGCTGAGACAGTCACACATTTTCTTATTTACAGAATAAACCAAAATAATTCATACAAACTCTTCCAGACACGCGCATGGTTGTTGATCTTATCGTACATATGCACTTACCTCTGTGGCTTTTACTTTCAGGGTAGGTTGTGAATTCAGTGTAGTCAGATTTGTAAGTGACAGGTTATCCTGCATGCCGGTGGTACTTATGAGCTGTATGAACATAAAGCAAGATATAACCTTTAGAGTTTAAACACTAGCCAGTTCATTATTGTAGATAGTTACCATTGTAAATGCCATGCTAAAATTTCTGGCTTTGTAGTCATGGACAAGGGCATGGGTAGGTAGTAGGTAACTGACAACTTGGTTATTTGATAAGGGTTGGGATATTTTGCCGTTTTCAGGAACGGTAACTTAAACTAGGAATTTAATTTTTTAAAAGGAACCTGCTGAACACAGCCAGGCATTTCCTTCTAGGTTAGCTCTAGAACTATATAGGCCTTTGCTCTGCCACAGGGCTATAGCACAAACTATGTTGAAACTGGGCAATTGAACTGCTCCCACTGCTCCCACGAAAAACGGCTCACAGAATGCAAAATCATCAGGCTTTTTAACACTTATTTATCTACATAAACAGGGGTAGAAATTATCTCTTGAACACGGGAGTCCGGCAGATTCCCTACCCTCAAAAAGAGGGAGTCCGTAGCAAAATGATGGAGTCTGCAGTCTGAAGTTCAAAATTAAAGATATTAATAATAACACGTGCTTATTTTGAAGATTCATGCGGTTACACGTCTGCCAAATTTTCTTTGGACATTTGCTGAAAAAACACGGTAATTCTGCGAGGCCATGCTCTGGAACAAACTAGTTAGTATAGTATGGCAGAGTTTTCAAGGAGTCACATGGACTCCTGCATATGTCAAATCAGGGAGTCCGACAGTAAATCAGGGAGTATTTGACTCTGAACTCCCATTAATTTTGCACCCTGCATAAACCTTTATTTTTTAGCACTTTTCACGACTTAACACAATGCATTTATTCATTTATTCCTCGAAGTCTTAGCACTACCTGCAAATTCCGTTCAAATGCTGGCGTGGGTACTGTCATCCGAAATGTAGGCAAAAACACGGGGGCAGCCCATTACTCATGCATGGGGTGAACTGGCACTTTTCTAATCATAAACATGTTGCCTGGCAACATTGTAATCAGCACCAGTGCTATACCCACACCCCCATGAGTAATGGGCTGCCCTTGATTTGTCTGTGATCCATTCCTCGGGGGAGCAGAGGGAGCAGTTCCGTTGCCCAGTGTCAACATAGTTTGTGCTATAGCCCTGTGGCAGAGCGAAGTTCTAGAGCTACTTCTATGTGGGATGGGGGCTAAGGCCTGAGTCTAGATCTAGCTCTAGAACTATATGTCTATAGCCCTTCGCTCCACCACAGGCGCCTGTGGTGAAACGAAGGGCTATACTATAGTTCTAGAGCTAGTCTAGTTCTAGCTCCAAGAAACGGTCTTTGCTAGGGTTAGGAGATCCTTTTATATAGATTTTTTTTTTATTGGTTTGTGTATATAATATTGACGTTAGTCACACAGCCTGAACCTGGTCGGGTTAGTCTAGTTCATCATTTATGCTCCTCAGATGGCGTACATTGGCCATTGGCATTGCCACTTCCATGCACTTCACAAGTCACAACTTCCAGTCACTTCAATGCATGGTTAGGAAATGTTCCAAAAAATACTTTACGGAACTTTGATCAACATTTTAGGATATTATATTCAAATTACCTTGCCAACCGGACTTGCTTTAAATAACTCTTCAAATGCATCATGGAGAATAGGTCTATCAAACCATAGTTTACCACTGTCACTGGTTTTACTTCTGTGCCTGTTGGGAGTCGCCATAACGAATGAAGAGATATAAATTTACATTAATAGTAACTATTACTAACAAACTTGTTAAAACTGTCCTTAGTTTACTTTTCTAAAATCTAAACAACAAGGATATTTGTTGGCGGCGATATTTAAAAACTTGGCCGAAAACAAACGCATACGACCCCTGGCGGAGAGCACGCTAGACCCAGGGTACCCGGATGATCAACGCCGACGTAGGCCGTAGATGGGTTACATGTCCGCAAATTTTCGCTACCGCTTTGCGACTATGGCGACAATAATAGGATTACGGACATGTTACCCATCTAGATTTACCATGGCGAAAAGTACAATAAGTACCCAGTTTTCTTGACGTATAAATTTCCATGGTGTCAATACACTTTTAATATTAACTCGTTTTTATTGACGTTTCGCAGTGTAAAGTTATTTTTACAAATCTTATTTAAAATACAATATAAGTTGTGTAAGTTTATTAACGAAATGAGTCACCATGTTTTCCTGAAGACCCAACTTAAATAGAAATGGGCATAGACGTTGTTGATGTTTTTGATGAGAGTGTGGTTAAATTTGTAGAAGCATTGGTGAAAGATGGAAGGTTTGGAATCTGCGGCGGGAGTATACGAATATTTGACTACAGTAAAGGGTACGAGTAATAATTGATAACGAGATGCCCAGTACTACTATTACTAGTCAGACAGTACTCGGTAGTCTAGTCGAACGTGACACGTCGTTTGTGCAACACTGAATACACACTCACCGTAGTGTCTCAGTGACAGCATAGATATATATACAACACATGGTGACAGTGGCTCGCTGTTACACACTGTCGCACACTGACAGTGTCAGTGACACTGGCACTGCCGCTGAAGGGGTCGTTGTCGTATATGTAGTACCGGTACCCGAGGTGTCGGCGAGTATGTCGCCTACTCCCTAACCGGGTAACCCTAACCCTAGACCGAATAATTCTGTCCAATATAACCTTTTTTATCATCACTAAGGGGAGAGGGGGAGAAGGTATCGAGCTGGTGGAGGGAGAAGCGAGAGGGCAGAAGGGAACGTTTGTTGCAATGACATGTACCAAACGAACCCCAGGTGGATAGTGCGGATTATTCTTCTCTCTGAGAATTAGAAAAACGTAAGAGCAGTGTTTACAAACCACTGACAGGCTCGAAAAGCGGCCGACGTAGCGAGTGCACGATTGCCGAGGACACTTGCGCAGAAGAGAACTAGGACTGGAGGCACATCACTGACGTCAAACACGAACATTGAAGGAACATGGCTAGCCTATGTCGGAGACGAAATATGGGAAACAAGCAAGAAATTGGGGTACAAACTCGAAATACGGACTAAGGTAAACAAGGAATACGATAGTGTAACTAGAACGGCAAGAACGGCGAGCAAGCATATAAGTGATCCATTTCGATCTACGGTTGCGGCAGATTTTGGAGTTGATCGCAGCCGAATTGTGAGTTATGAGGAGCGGATGCCTGGAATCGAAAGCGGAATACACCAGAAGGGGAGGGAGAAGCTGGTGGCAAAAACAAATCGGCGGGAATCGGAAGAAATTTCCACGTTTTGTATAAGGCAAGTTGCTCTGAAAAACCGAAAACACCATCACAGGAGGCACACACATATATCGTAAAAATCCCGCCAGATGCAGAAATACCCGAAGGTATGGAGAAGTAAGGAGAGAGGGAGGAGGGGGAGAAAAAGAACAACACAAATTCAATAGGAAAATATTATCAAAATCAGGAAAAAAACAAGTGTTTTAAGAGATGAGAAAAAGACAAGGTCAGGTGGACTTGTGCTGTTGGCAATTGTAAAAATACATGTGCATAATACGGTCTTAAGGTTGTATGGTTGTCCTCCGGCGGTCTTTGGGTTGAACTGTCAACATGTTACAAACGGGAACGGACGTATATACGGGAGAAGGCAAAAGAGAAGTACTGGTGAGAAATTTGCCAATGATTGATTGAAAGATTAACAGTGTCCCCACAGGGGGAGAGCTTCTTCCGGCCAGGTAAGCACATACACGTTCGCCAGCCCTTCTCCACGACTGCTATGTGCTTATCACTCGCGGATCGCACAGAATAACAACGACGACAATAACATTTCGCACTTGCGAGTTTTGACTACAAATGTCCAGAGCCACAGCCTGATAATGTTCCGACGAGCAAGGTGCTGTGCCTTAGCGTCCAATAAGAATACCAATACACTAACACCTAGCCTTAGCCCTCCTTCTCGCTTGGGGGGGCTCGTAGTAGTAATCACGAGTTGCAACACTGAAAGCAAGGCAAATTCAAAATATGCTCCTGTGCGCGACCCGGTCCTATCCGCTTTCCTCCTCCACAACATCTAGACACTGCCGATGCTACTGCCAACAATGAGAACTGGGAAAACATGTATGTTGATAACCTAATAGTAATTACGAGTATTAGGAAGGCAACACGGCGAAATCCGTAAACAGATACGGCAACAGTACCTGAATTCAGCGGAACTCTTAAGCTGCCATCACAAGATCAACACCATCTATCCACAGTTTCTTTTGGAGCATTACCTGTCTACGGTAAACAGATTTTCCAGGATAGGTGAAAACTAATAACGAACGTAGTCCACGACAACGATAACAACCAAAACTACCCAATTGGACGATAAAACACAAGAAGTGTGTAAAATGTGATGTTCACTGATGGTGGATAAAGAACATATCAAATGGCGCTTTCTTCTGAAACTCCGCGGTTTCTCGCAGCAATTGAACACCGTTTGCCTTCCTCTAACGACACGGACTTAAGCTAATCCGTATACAAAAAGGAAGCATCATCAATACCACTCGTATCCATTCGGTATAACTACTAAGGTAACCCAAGGGGGTAATAAAGCCTGAGTGGCAAAAGAACTGTATTTCAATATTAAACCAGTGCCTTCTCAGTACACGCTATATGGTGATACAGCAGGGATGCCCCTCTTCATAGAAGAATCAGACAACATTAGCCCTGGTGCCCATCTCAAGAACAATCACTTCAATCCTCGAAACGCGTGGTAACAGAACAGACGGAAGGTATGGAATTGACAAAATGAAACTAGAGAAAAAAAAATTTATTTCACATATATAAAAGTTTTTAAAAACACAGAACTCGAGAAGAACGAAATAGTAGAATTAGCAATTACTAATAATTAGATGTTATGTACTTCAAATGTCCTTGTTTATACACATTTAACGCGCACGAGGGTTAATGGAACTATAATCTATTGTGTGTTTTCAAGATGATCTGGTTATCAGAGCTGTACAGGAGCCAGTCCACCGAGAGGGCAATTGCGATCGGAACACGGCAAACTTGAAAATTCAGCAGAGCTAACCGCCAATCTGCTAACCTTCACTTACAAGTAGTCCGATGATTCAACGCACGTAGACCTGTAAGTTCTGCGTTGCCCTGACCTTTTCCCAAGACTTGATCGGCCTGGTTCGCACCACATCTCCTAGATCAGATCCTTTTGGATATGCCCAGTAAGTAGCTATCATTGAAGTAATGGGATTATCTACAGTGGATTATATCATAGTAAGAGATAAATATATATGATGATTATGTACAATATGAACAGAATATGAATATATGAGAATATGATGATGTATGATTATATGAGAAATGAACAGGTCGTGACAAAATTTTTTATATAAACAATTAAACACTAATTTCGGTGGGGAATGGTACTATTAACAGTTCGCAATTGAGACCAAATTATATAACATGACGCTAGGCCAACGCAGGTACTAGCAATGACATGTAGGCATGGAAATGACGGTCAATACAACATACAATGGCGTGGTTTCTTTTGTTACATGAATATTTATTTATTACCACTGACAAGTATGTTAAAGTGACAATAGAGGTAATAAATGTACAATCTATCAATTGTATAATATGTTCACAATACAAAGAATTGATTTCTAAACACGAGTTTTCTAGAATAAAATAATAACATATTATCTCCGAATAAAAATAATTTGTAAGTGTCCAAATAAGAAACCCATTCGGTTTGTTTCAATGTAGGTGGGGAAACATTGCTTTAACGTTAAAAATTGATCACTCAGCAGATCTTCCTACCAAACACATGACAACAAGTCATAAGACCCTTGGTGAACCCATAATGCACGCACATGTAATTGCCATGTTAGGTACCGTCACCCAGCAATCTTTATTCTTTATTTAGCGTTTACAAAATACCTCTATGAACCAACACCATGTCACGGTACAAATGCCCTAAACATCTTACTACAAGTCACGAGTAATACTTTAAGAGCGAGTGCTCATCACACTAAATGAACTTGGTCCCACAACTAAAGTCTATTATATACATACAAAGTAATGTTATGCGAATACATTTTAACAAAATCTGAATCAGTTAATATTGTGAGAGAGCCGCCAGGCCAATAAAGTCAACAGTCTTGTGACTACACTATCAAGCACACTTGAATTCGTTACACGAAATACCGCCAAAGTGATTTTCTCAAGTTATATACAGAGAAATTTTATGTCAAACAAGACATAACTTCAAATGTATAGAGGGAGGCTTGACAGTCCTTAATTACGCTAATATTGCTATAGCAAGACACACCATCACACGATAGTAGGCGCCTATGCACACCCAGTCTTCAACGTGTAAATAGTACTAAAGCGATACTCGAATTAGAGTAAACAAATGAAATATAATCTGCCTCACGAATTGTGGGATCAAGTTTGAAGATTATTAATACAAATATTTTGTGTATAATAGAATTACCGAACCTTTCCCACACACATAAGGAGTTACTAATTTAAACAGGATAAAAACTGTGGTCAGTCGCGTGGATACAAATGGTCTTCCGAAGATTACATACAATCAAGAAATGTGCTTAAATAAGTTATTTGTTTTTCTTTTATCAAGCACACACTCGATAGACTGAGTGTAGAAGTTTCTGGAGATTCGTCCTCTGCTACACCTATCATAAATACAACATGGTCAGGCATGCGGAGGCAGGTCAGCATAGTCGAGCGAATCGATCTAACGTTATGTCTTGGAGTCACCATGTGTTTAAGAACTTGCTTTGTCATTGCGCTGGTTTAACATATGTTTCTTTGCATTAATTACAGCATCTGACCTAATAACATAATGTCACTCTATCGAGTGTTAGGCTGCTTACAGACCAGCATTGTGTATATTTCTTAAACCCCTCGACAACCAATGAAAACTGTCCTACAAGGACTGAGAATTCAACAGTGGTAGCGGAGTAGGTCATTAATTCGCAGAGTTTGTGGCATTAAACCCCATATAGTGGCGAATAGCCCGGCTGAGCAAGAATCTAAGGATGTCTGTGTTAGGTTCTAATTCATTAGGTGTGTAAATAGGCCGGCGGGGGCTGACGACTGCTCAATACATCTGTACTCGCCTCAGGCCGTAGTCCGCTGACAGATAGCCCTTTAGCACACACTGTGAGGACCAGCGATACATATCCATGTCATCCAGGACAAGCTTGATTGATGGAAAGCATTCTGCTGCAAGTTTCTCCATTTGTAAGTGTGGTATTGTGACCATGAGCGTTGTTTCTCAACAACAATTTGAACCACCTGAGAAAGCTTGTGACAGAATAAATAAAATTCGTCATAC